TATCTATCTCCATGCCCCTCTGCCTCAGATTCACATTTGTGCCCAAACAATTATGTATGCATCTCCACAGAAAATTTTTCAGCTTATTTTTAATGGGCAGTTTCCATGTAGTTTTCCACATAGCCTTAATCCTGTCACCCCCTGAACTGTTTTTCTCCTGTCCTCCCTCTATCCATTTTTGCTGCTGAATGAGATGGTAAGCTGATTTCACAGTAAAGATTCCCTTCTTGTGAGGATTCCACACTAGCTTGTCTTTTGAACCCACCTTGCTTATGTGAATCTTCAAAATAGCCTCAGCTACAATAGGGTGAAAAGTTTGCATGATTAAATCTCTATCCCACTCCATTCTGTTATCTAACATAAGATCTGCAACCCTATGAAGCCTATTTCTATCTACAACACTACCCCCATCAGGCTTAAACTTAGGGATACTTGGGATCCAAGGGGAGTCCAAAATAACTATACCCTTCCCATCCCCTACTGAGAATCTAGCACCCAAACCCAGATATTTTCTAGCATCCAACCCCACCCCTTCCAGAGCCAAGAATCACTATCTCTCTTTTTGACTCCCATAATATTTTGCTTGAACATATATTTACCCCTAATTACTCTACTCATCAAAGTATTAGGTCTGGTTAGCACCCTCCACAGCTGCTTGAGAATAAGGGCTGAATTAATACTCTCAAAATCTCTGAAACCCATCCCCCCCTCTGATTTTGCCCTAGCCAACTTACCCCATCTCATCCAATGAATTCTATTACCCCCCTCTCCAGATTTCCCCCACCCGAATTGAGCTATACAGCTGCAAATATCTTCACATAAACTCACTGGCAATTTATACACAAACATTACATAGATAGGCATAGCAGCTAGAACAGTTTTAACAAGCACTTCCCTCCCTGCCTCACTCAAAAAATTGTTTTTCCAATTAGAAATTTTGGAAATTACACACTGTTTAACAAAGGAAAAAGTATCTTTTTTTGATCTCCCAATTCCTAATGGAAGCCCCAAATATTTAGAGTATTTAGCAACTGCAATGCCTGGGAAAATATTACAGATGCTCATTTTCAAGGAATCAAGGGTGTTTTTGGAAAAAAAATATACTATATTTGTGGAGATTAACTGATTGACCAGAGGCTGCACAATAACAATTCAAAATATGAAGGATCAACTGAGCTTGATTAGGATCAGCTTTACAAAACAATAGGGCATCATCTGCAAAAATAAGTGAGATATAGGAGGAGAATGCCTACTGATTTTTATTCCAGACAGAGATTTAGATATGCAAGCTTAGGAGATAAGATTAGATAAGGCTTCTGATGCAAGAATAAAAAGGTAAGGAGACAGAGGACAACCTTGTCTAAGACCCCTAGAAGGAATAACTTGACCTACTATTTGCCCCCCAAAATTAAATGAAAAAGAAGAAGAACATATACAGGATTTAACCCATCTCAAAAAAATATCACTGAAACCCATATGTCTACACACCTTAAACAAAAAACACCACTCTAATCTGTCATAAGCTTTTTCCATATCCAATTTCAAAGCCATAAAGCAAAATTTGCCTTTATGCTTAGTATTTAGATAATGGATACATTCATTTGCAATAATGCAGTTGTCCAATATCTGCCTACCAGGCACAAAGGCTGCTTGAGATTGAGATATGCAGCAATGAAGGACATTTTTTAGTCTATTTGCCAAAATATTTGCAATCAACCTATAGGTAATAGTACATAAGCTAATTGGTCTATAATGCACAATGGTTTTGGGTTCTTTAATTTTGGGAATGAAGGTGACAACAGTATGATTAGATGCCTTAGGAATACAAGCAGACTGAAATAAATTAGAAATAGCAAGGACCAAATCACCTTTTATAGTGTCCCAAGATGACTGAAAAAACAAAGGGGAGAATCCATCAACACCTGGAGCTTTGGCAGGATCCATGGCCCACAGTGCTTGTTTGATTTCATCTTCAGTCACAGGCTTGATGAGTTTTTGATTTATCTCAACAGTTATGGATCTTGGGATTCCTTTGAAAATTTCCTCATCACAGTCAGGGTTCTCAGACTTAAGTAAGGTAGTAAAGAAATCCTCAACTTCCTTGACAGCCTCTGATCTATTTTGGCATTGTACCCCATTCCTACAAATCAGATAATCCAGGTTGTTCCTTTGCCTCCTCTGCCTTACACATGCCTGAAAAAACCAAGTGTTTTTGTCCCCTTCCTTCAACCAACTGACTCTAGATTTCTGTTTCCAGTAGAGCTCCTCCTCTCTGTATTCTTCATGAAGTTTTTCCTTGCACTCTTGCCACTCTTCCCAATTTCTCCCTCCCCCTTGTCTACTCAGCAATTCCAATTTTGCATTGCAGACATTAATCATATGTGCAGAATTTGTTTTCTGTCTTGCAGCCCACCCCAACAAGGCAGTACTAACACTCCTCAATTTCTTTTGGAATCTGTATAAGTCTGGCCCTTTGTGAGCTACTTTCCATGCATTGGAGATGCACTCCTTGTATCCTTCTTTCTTGGTCCACCGGTTATCAAACATAAACCTGGGCTTTGAAGCTTCCTCACTTCTGGCCAAATCCATCAACAGGAGGTTGTGATCTGAGGAGGCCAAAGGAATGTTCTGAATCTGGGTTTTAGGGAATACCACTCCGGAGAGACACAGATCCTATCTAATTTCTCCTCTACAAATTCCTCCCCCCTCCTAAGATTAGACCAGGTAAACTGATGCCCTATAAGAGGACACTCTACTACCCCCAGGGATTGCAAAAAATTCCTAAAACCCCTGAAACTGCCCTCTCCTCTCACCAACCCCCCTTTTTTCTCTTCATTACAAATAATATCATTAAAGTCAACCCCTATAAACCATAATTCCCCCCATCTTAATGAATGTCTAAGGAGCAGATCCCATTGATTCTGTCTCTCAGAATCATCAACACTAGCATAAACAAAAACCCCCCACATAATATCATTTCTCCCATTAAGAACAAACTTGACTTCTAAACTGAAGAATATATAAACTATTTCCAAAATAGAAACATTTTTCGACCAACATAATAAAAGACCCCCTTTAGACCCCACTGGATCCACACAAAACCACCTAGACTCAAAAGGCAAATTTCTACAGACAGTAGTAATAAAAGCTTTTTTCTTTTTAGTTTCTGATAAAAAAACAAAATCTGGGAGGTAGGATTTAATCATATCCTTCAACTGGGAAATTGTAGAGGGTCCTCCCAAACCTCTACAATTCCACACCATAGCTTTCATTTGGAAATTTGGGACCATTTATGGCTGGTTTCCTCCACCACATTATCAGTAAAATCAATAGAAACATTAGCATTCTTAACTTTCTTAGGATCAGACTCAGACCCTACTTCAGTAAAATCCATACCCTCATCAGCCTTTCTTTTATGAGAAGCAGGAGATGGATTCTCCCCCTTACTAATTGCAGTAGTACCCTCAGTCTCCTCATTGAGGTTACTACCCCTTTTGATACTCCTAGTAGTTCTAGTAAAGGTTTTTGGTCGCTTAACCTGACCAACTTTAAGTTGAGCAGATTGCACAACCACCTCTACTAGATTACCATCCTCTCTTAATGTGCTTTTAGGAGTTTCCAGCTCCATTGGCACAACAAAGCTAGATCCTTCCCCAGAAAGAGAATTCTGGTCCCCTGGGGTTTGAGATCCCCCATTGATAAGAAAATTATCCTTATCTTTTGGTCTAGGATCTGCCTCACTTCCAACACTCTTCCCCTTATCTCTAACAGACTCTAACTCAGGTTCACTTCCCCCCTTCTTACTAGTCCTCCCTTCCATATACTGGTTTTGAATCCTTTGGCTATTGATAGTCACAGGGAGAGGATTACTAGGACTAGAGGACTTTATGTCCCTGCTATCCCCATACCCACCCCCCAAGGCTCTCAACCAATCCCCATATTGCCCAGATTTCATAGCATTCCTTTGGATGTCCTCTTTTTTAATTTCACACTGCCTTTCATTATGTCCTATCCGTCCGTAGTAAAAACAAAAGCCCAGAAGGTTTTCATACCTAAAATCGATCCAGTGTTCCTCATGTCCCAACTTCAGCTTAGTTCCTCTTGGTAGCGGTTCTGAGACTTTGACTTCCGCCAGGATTCTTACTATTCTCCCGTTGAGTGATCCTGCCCCTGGAGCCACCACATCAACCACCTTGTGAAACAGCCAGCCTATCTTCATTCCAGCCTCTGCAGATACCCAATGTAACGGCAGATTATGTATCTGTATCCATAAATCCACTGTCATTTCATCCTCCGAAAAGTCGATGAATCCCTTTCTCCACTCTTTGATGAGTAGATATTGCCCGTCGAAAGTCCATGTTTTTCCTTTCAATACCCTTGTCTTGTCCTCTTCGCTCTGAAATATGAATTGAAACAGATTGGGACCTAGAACCCTGACTGAGAATGATCTCTCTAATTTTCAGGCTATTGCCATCGTGACTCGAAGACCCCCAATACTGGCTCTTTTCTCGCCCACAATTTTCCCAATTAAGCTTAAAGAGCAATCCTGAATCCCCGTTTCAACATCCGCTTCAGATAATTCGACCCCTAATTTTTCTTTGTCAGAAAGTTCGAATTTATGAAATTTATCTATGATATCCTGTTCC